TAATGTAAGCCCGGTGAATGTCATGGCCTAAATTTTTTTTAAATAACTTTTTTGGATATTCTGTACAATGAAATTATCGACAAATTCCGTATTAAAAACGCATCCTCTATATGGAAAAAATACATGTGTAGTACCCTCCAGTTCTCGATTCTCGATTACTACAATATTTGGAGAGCATTGGAGGCTCCGATCGACATGACAATGTAGACTTGTTTTTATTCAGGATAAGCTTCTAAATGTTAGGTTTTTGCGCATTTTACAAACCAGTAGGTGTACGACGATACAGAAACACCACATACACAATGACAAGGCTAAACTGTTTGGCATAAACGAAAAAAGTGGTGTGATATCACGTAGTAGGCACTTTAAATCGTTTTACTCTTTTGATCTAAGTCATATTAAAGAAAAAGAGAATTAACTCTTTAATATAAAGAGTTAAAAACCTAAAATTTATTCGCTACTGAAAAAGTTATTTGTATTACGACTGCCAAGTTGTATTATTTGTACTAGCTGCCTATAAATGGTTGTAATTTCGAGTTTATTCGTCGTTTCTACCCAAACAGGTGTCGCCATTTGTTAATATGTGTTTAATAAAGATAAAACAGATATACAACTTGATAGAGTAGGTTTCTCAGGGTTTTCGGAAGACATTAATTGTAGATCAGGTCTAAGACATCGTATTACCAGTAAGAGATATGCTTAACATAAGCTAGTGATGGTATAACCACCACAAGGTTGTTGCTTTGGATTAAAACTACTAAAGTATTCAATTATGGAACCTAAATGAATTTAGATACTCTAAACTCGAATGTACGTAACTAATTATTTCCTTGGCAAAAAAACATGATTTTCTACATCTGCGACAGGTTATCTGACAATAAAATATTAATTCTTACAAAAAATGTAAAAGAAAAACAATTGAGGGGAAATAATTGAGAAAAAGAACAATTTCTCATGGAAAATTGTTCAGAAATGGTTCTATTATACCAAAAGATTTAATTTTTCAAGAAGTCCAACAGAATAGAAGATATTCATGACAAAAAGATCTTCCCGAATGCTTCTATACTAGTAAAAACCATTTATTTTTAACAGGTTTTTATAAAACATCGATTTATCAGGAACTATGAAGCTATGGAAAACTATATACCTATATTTGGGGCAAATATCTGCATGAATCATTGAAAAAACTACACAAACTGTCTATCTAGATTAGCAATACCAAAAATATCTGATTTTGTAGGAAGAATAATGCAAACAAGATATTCTTCGTGAAAAAACTGGCGAGAATAGTTCTATGCTAGCAAAAACCATTTATTTAAATCAGTAGTTAAAAAAAAAGTTTTTTTCAAATATACGAAGAAAAAGAAGATATTCGTGGTAAAAATATCTGCATTAACGGTTCCAAAGCCACATGAAGCGTACATTAAAATTAGCAGTAGTAAACATCTGATTTTTTAGGAGGTACAATGGACATGAAGATATTCTTGATGGAAAAATTAACGAGAATGGTTCTGTGTTAGCAAAAACCTTTTATTTCGACCAGCAGTTCCAAAACATCTGATTTTTTAGGAGGTACAATAGACAAGAAGATATTCTTGGTAAAAAAATTCACGAGAATGGTTCTGTTAACAAAAACCATTTATTTGGACCAGCAGTTTTTTAGGAGGTATAATGGACATGAAGATATTCTTGATGAAAAAATTCAGGAAAATGGTTTTATGTTAAAAAAAACCTTTATTTCGGTCAGAAGTTCAACACATTTTTCAGAAAATTCAGGAGTGTCTACCTTTACAAACACTGAAATGTCCGACAAATTACAAGTAATAATCGTAGTTTGGGTAGAAACACTGTGAACTCGAACCTTTACAATGGCTTAACAACTACGAGAAAAAACCGCATATATTCTGCACAGGCAAGAGGAAGAATCGCATGTTCTAAAAAAATAAAGTGTGGAAAATCCGCAAAAATATTCAATCCCATGATTTATAGTGCAGCTTTGTTTGTCTTCTACCTATGTACAGTTGACTGGGTGTCAAAATAACTATTGATTTTAATGGTATTAATAAGAAATATTAAAAAGACAAGAGTTCTTATTTGAATAAATTAAAAAATTAAGGTTTTCAAATAAATTAATGAATTTACTTCACAGATCCTTTGTATTTCTGTTAAAATCTTGTTTTTTCTCATTAAAATGATTGTTTAATCATTTATTCCAAACGTCACGTTCCTATGACATTACGCTGTCATTGTTTGAGGTTAGACCCTCCCAAAAATAAAAGGATAACTGTACCTATAGTCAACAGTAATGTAAACTTCATAGAAATTATCAAAAGAATAAACTAAAAATATTGTCAAAAGTGTTTTAACCGAAAATATTATACAGAGTGGAGAATCGTCAAACGGGCCATAGGAAACTCAATGGGAAATTCTAAATTGTTGAATTCCTGCTTCCCTAATTATTTTACATCAAAAGTCATGGGAAACTATTTGTAGAGGACCCAAATATGTATCGAAAACAATTGTCAAAATTGTTCTACGACTTTATTTAAAATCAACTATATTATATTTATCTATGATTTTAAATGGCCAAAATTTTGTGATTTATTATTTTAAAAGAAAAATTAAGTTGATTAAAAAATGTACTCAGTTAAGGAGAAAAGAGCAATAATAAAAATGTTTTATTCATGTTTTATTATAACATTTGTTATAGTTTTATGTTTAGAAATTAACGTATATTATTATTAGGAATAAAGATCACAGTAACAGTATATTGGAATTCATTGAATTGTTGTATAACTTAACTTAACATGGAAATAAATTTTAGTGTATTAGAATATCTTACTTTAAATAAAGATCCAGTAGTGATAGGAAAAGGTTCGCGCTATTGCCTGAATACAACATTATGCGATTTTTCGTCAACTGAGTACATTTCATTTAATTGATCGATTTGTAAACAATATAATTTATTGTTCACGAAGTAATATTGTTCAGTAGTAGTACTATTTTGTAAAATTCATTGTTTATAATTTAATCATAAAATAAAAAAAAATTGACAATTCAAATTGTCAAACATCTGACATCAATATGAAAAAACACACACGTTATAATATATTCTTGTATTACGTGTGGCCTAACTTTTAGGGGTGGTCTGAAAAATCTATTATACTTTTGCAAAATTTTGAAGTACATTTGATTCGTAGAACGGTTTTAACATTTGTTTTTAATTTAGAATTTAGTCCTCTACAAATCATTTTTTATGACTTTTGATCTAAAATAATTAGGGAAGCAGCAATTAAACAATTTAAAATTTCCCATTGAGTTTCCTATGGCCCGTTTGACGATTCACCACCCGGTATTATCATTAATGTATTTTAGTGACTATGAATAAAAGTAGAGCTGGTACATACCAAGAGATGAGCTTTATCGATAAAAGTGTTTTTCATTTGAAAAACTGAAAAACTTTCATTTGAAATAATTATTATTGAGGTATTGCAAAAAATAAGTAGTACAGAAGAGTATAAAACGAATTAATTGAAAACCTGACTGCCAAGAAAGACTACAGAGTATCCTAAATTATATCAGACCGCTCTAAAGTTCTACATAATCCCGTCAAAGTTCTCCAGAACTTCGGAAACATTCTATGATAGTCTTAAAATGAATCTGACTGACTTGATGTACTCCCAAGTTCCCTAAAACATTTCAGATTACCCTGAAATAATTCTAGGTTCACTAAAATATTAAGCAACTGTCCCAAAATCCTCCAGGACTGCCCAAAATTTTTCCAAAATGCTTCAAATATTCTATGAAAATCTTTAACACAAACTAGGCTCTCCTGAAACAATCCAAAATATTTCATGACGGTCGTGAAAACTTCTAGATAATCCTCCAGACTGTCCCGAAGCTCTCCAAAGTCTCTGTGACATTTCATGAGATTCCCAACTCAAACTGGGCACTGCCGAAGCATGCTAAAGTTCCCTACAAATATTACAGATGGCCCTGAAGTACTTGAAGAGCCCCTAAAAACATTCTATGGTAGTTCAGAAAACTAGACAGTTTTCTAGAGCCTTCTGAAGCATTCTATGACAATCTCAAAAGAGATTTGGTTGAACGAAGTACTCCAAAGTACCTTAAAACATTTCAGACTTCCTAAAATAATAAATATCGCTCCTGTATACTTCCAGAATTATCTAAAGATCTCCAACATCCCCCCAAACGTTCCATTTTATAGAATCAAGACAAATCTGACTTTCCTGAAAAGATACTAAATAATCCATGATGGTAGTTAACCTGTTTGTAATAATCTTTGTAAGGTTGTGAAAGAAGTGAAATTAGTGGATAATTTTTCAGGTCTGTGATGTCTCCCTTTTTGTGTATTATTATTGTTTTAGCAGTATTCCATTGTTCGGGTATGTTGCCTTCAAATAGACATGTATTAAATAGTATTTTTAGATATGTGATGACTTCTTCTCCGCCTTCCTTCATCATTTCTGCTAGGATTCCATCGTTTCCAGGAGCTTTATTCCTTTTTATTTCTTTTACTGCTCTTTGTATTTCTTCGTGGTATATTTCAGGCATCACTTTTGAGTTGACATTTTTTATCTGTCTTTTCCAAGTTCTGCTTTGAAGAGTTAAAAGGTTCGGTTCTGGAACGATCCAGATCGGCGTAGAACTTTTCAATTGATTTTGTTACATCAGATTTACTTTTTTCTAGTTGTCCTTGTTCATTTTTAATGGTTATTGCTCAACTTTATGTGCATATTTCTTAGAAATCCTAGTTTATTGCAAAAAAGATTTTAAAAAAATTCACAATAAGAATTTAAAATGAATTCTTGTGGAAACGATCCAAACATTTGGGTTTGTTTAATATCAAAACGAATCTAACCTAAAAAAATGACAGCGTGACGTCACATACTCGTGACTCAAAAATGTCAAAGTAGTGCGTTATTAAGGTTCGTTAAAAAACTAGTTTTTTAGTTGGGTATAACTGTAAAAACTGAACAATAAATAGAAAATATAATTTCGTAAATACTACATTATTTATAAATTATTTTCAATAAATATTAATAAAGCGATGCTTGTTTTAAAAAGATGGGATTTCTGATGAGGACATAAATCAAGAAAAAAAAGGTTAGGTTACGTTTTACAATACGTGGAATGAAGATGGGACATGTGGAATAATCAGGAACTGCAAGAAGGAACGAAACTTACGATAAGAGGCATTAATATTATGCATAAACATTTCGGATTGTTTTTAAAGTCTACAATCAAACTACTCGAGATATTTTACCAGAATGTACCCGAAAAATAATTCATTGCAATATACAATTACGTGCAAAAGAAATCCCACCTTTACATGTTTTAGAACGAAATAGAAAGAAATACGAAATTTCTTCAGAAAGCAATATTCAAGTTGGAGAAAAACGCCAAATCTGCTGAACACGTACAAATCCATAACTTCGTTCACATTTGGCTATTGCTTCACCGCATGTGGGTTTAGTGTAGAAGATTTGGCGATTTTTAACTCGCTTATTTCATAATTATAAATTTCCGCATGAAAATCATATTTATTATCAATAATTTGCCGAATTTTCGCTTACTAGTTCAAAAATGAGCTACTACAAACGATATTATCACAAGAAACGTCTAAGACCAATAATTATTTCAACCCAGCGAATTTTAAAATGATTCCATTCATCTAATATTCGTCTCTTCGAGAAAATGTATTAAACGTTAGGTACTAAATTATCACTACTTGGTTTTTCGTGTTACTCATAGCACGAACTTCAACCTTCGCTATTCGTCGTCCGTGTCGCCTTCGCTGGAATAGTCTTGGATGGGAATTGGCCTGGCGGAAAGGTGCTGATGTCATTTGCCTGAAACGAAAGAAGACTGTAAATAGTATTCTCAGAATGTTCTTGCAAAAACAATAACATGCAGATTTCTTAAACAAGCTTTTGATTACATTGCAAATTTCACTAGGTCAGCGCGTGTTCTAGCTACACCGATATTTTCAATGTCATAGCAATAGGCAATTATTAATATTATTAAAGGATTTTAAATTTTTAAACTGAATTGGGTTACTTGGATCTGACGCTTAATTAAATCCCGTTACAATTCCATGGGATCTGAAATCCCCTAAACCACTTCAAGGGCCTTTAAAACAGTCCATAACGGATGTGAAAATTTAAAAAAACTTTCTAAAAATCATTTTTTAACATTACAAACAAACCTATAAGCTCCACTGAAGCATTTTAGATACCTCTAAAGCAATTTCATGGCCCCTACAATATTAAATACCGGTCTTGAGAACTTCCAGTCTATCCTGAGACCTTTCAAATTACCTTTAACCTTTCAAGAAAGTTCCAACACAAACCTGACGGTCTTGAAGCAGTCCAGAGTCCCCTAAAGATATTTCAGATCGTCACAAAAGCTTTTATAACATCCTGAGTGACGGTCTCGAAAGAAAACTGTATTTTCTGAAGTATTTCAGAATGCATTCTGGATTGTTCTCACCCACAAACGCAAAATATACTTACGGCTCTTAAAAGATTATATCCCAGTTCTGAAAGCTTTGAGACTGGCCATAATCCGTCTAGAAATTCCAGAATTGCAAGGCAAAATAGACTTGGCTATTCCGAATCATTCCAGGAGGCATTTGAATTACCCAGAGCATTCTGGATTGCTCTGAGGCAATAAAAGAGTCCTATAAAGATTCAAAGACAGTCACAAAAGCTTCCTTACTGCCCTGAGAACCTTCAGAATCCTCAAAAGATTTCAAAATAGTCACCTGACAGTCCTGAAACATTACAGAGCACCTTAGGAGCCTCTTAACAGTTTTGATAATTCTTAAAGCTGCTAGACTAACTAAGAGTCTGCTAGAGCTTCCTCAAATATTTCATGATAATCTCAAAACAAAATTGACTGCTCAATAGTATACAAGAGTAGCCTAAACATACCAAGCTGTTATAAAGCAATCCCGACTAATTAACTAGAGAGCAATATTAGAGCTTAATTAGAGACCAGTATCTCTAACATAAACGACGATCCCGAAAGCTTCTAGATCGCCCTAAACACTTCAGAACGTCCCAAAGTTTCTATGAAATTCCCAACACTAATAAGGTTATCCTAAAACGTTCGTGAACCTTCAAAAACAAACAAATATAAAGTGCCAAAGCTCTTTAAAAGCCCCAAAAACAGTCAAAGATACTCCTTAAAGCTACTAGACTATGCTGAAGCCCGTTAGAAAGTTCGAAACACTTTAATACATTTAAAACATAATCTTGAATGCCAAGAAGGAGTTTAGAACCCCGTTAAAACATTACAGATTACCCTGAAGATATTTGAGAACTACTAACACCCGCAATTATATTCCCGAAATCTTCTAAATTGGTCTGAAGTATTCCATTGCAATAGAAAAATAATCTAAAAACTCAAATGACAATCCTAAAAGCTTCTAAAACATACTAAAGTCCTTCATAAGGTTTAGATAGACCTGACTAGACCAATGATAGATCCAAAAGCTCTTAGATTGACCAGCAGCCCAACAGAGTTTCCAGAAACATGATATGACAGTTTGAAAATAAATCTGGAAGTACTCCAGAACCTCCCAAATATTCCAGACCACTATGAAACAATTCTCAGGCCTCTAAAATATTAAATAAATATCCTGAATGAAGCTTCTAAAACCGCCTTCAAGCAATTCAGAAAGTCGATTCAGTAGAGTCCCCTGAAAATATTACTGATCACCATAAAGCGCTTTACGTGCCCCTAAAACTATCAATGATAGTCCTAAGAGAGTCTAAACGAACCAGAAGGCCTCCATATTTTTTTGAAATATTCCATGACAGTTTCAAAGAAAAAAAAACGTCAGTGTCTCGAAAACATTAAATGAGCAATGAACATTACTGGACGGCCCTGAAACCCTTCAAAACTTTCGAAACACTCGATGACACGCACAATACATACTTTGCCATCCTGAAACACACTATACTACGTTCCACGTTTAGAAAATAACATTGCGGAGATAGGGCCATGTATTTCTTATGGACGATAGCAACGCGGCGTTGCCACGACACACACAAGCACTTAGGGTTGTATAATTTGTATTTTTGTTTCCACAAACATGAATTAAATTAATGTTTTTTAACGTAATTGACCAAAAGTGCCCATTCGAAACAAGAGATGAAAAGTAGGGAAAATGATTTTAATTAGATAAATAGTATTTACAAAAGATAATTTTATTTTATCTTATTTTAATTATAGTAACGACAGTTTTATTTGTTTTTTCGGTGAGAATACGATATGCCATGAATCATAGAAATCAGTAGAAAATATTGACTGCTTGGAATGCGTATATCTAATTACTAATTGCAACTTAAAATAATACGATGTGCGTATGTCAGCTATTTTATGTCGTTCTCTGACTACATAATGATAATAAGGCTTTTATTTAGTAGTTATTCTGACTTTACAGTTAAATGTTAATTGAAAATGAAAATTCAAAAATTAAGCAAAGGGAATATCTTGGACATCCGTGCAAAAGAGAGTGTCTGAGAGTTTTGGCAACACTGATCTCCATAAGCGTAATGTTATTTTCTTAACTTGAAACAAAGAACTTTGAAGAGCTCCTAAAACAATGATAGTTCTGAGATCTTTTAGACTGACTGGAAGCCTGCCTTTGAATGTTTTCTGAAATATTCAATGACAATCTTAAAAGAAAAATGGAAGTATTCCAGGGCTTTCTAAATATTCTAGACTACTACAAAGCTATTTTAGAGTCTCTAAAATATTAAGTGAAATATTCTAGATTGTACTGAAGCCTTTCAGAACTTCCGAAAAATTTTATTGATATTACTAACACAAACTTAGCTGTTTTGAACCACTCAAAAACCCCGAAAAACATTACAGAACAAACTAAAGCTTTTTAAGAGCGCCTAAAATAATCACTTATACTGGTGAAAGCTTCTAGACTGACCAGAAGCCATCCAAAATGTTCTAAAACTTTCCAAAATAGTCCAAAAACAACTTTCTGAAGCTTCGTACTTCTCTAACCAGAGCTTAAACCAATACGACCTTAAAGTAGTACTATGGCAGTCTGAAAAAAAAATCTGGAAGTACTCCAGAGCCTCCCAAATATTCTAGGCCACTATGAAACAATTGTCAGGCCTCTAAAATAATAAATATATATCCTGAATGAAGCTTATGAATCGCCCTGAAGCAATTCAGGATCTCTAAAATATTCTATGAGATTCTTAATACAAGTCTGGCAGTAGAGTCCCCTAAAAACATCACTATGTAGCGTCATAAGTGCTCCTAAAAACTATCAATAATAGTCCTAAGAGAGTCTAAACGAACCAGAAGACCTCCATATTTTCTTGAAACAGTCCATAAAAGTTTCAGAAAAAACGGGAAATTCTCCAGAGCCATCTAATATTCCAGGCTACTATGAAGCAATGTCGCAGTTTTGAAAACAGTAAATGACGCAATGAACATTACTGGACGGCCCTAAAACTCTTCAGAACTTCTAAAACACTCGATGACACGCACAATGCATACTTAGCCGTCCTGAAACATTCCAGATTTTCTTTAAAAGTCACTAAAACAATTAATGATAGTTCTGAGAGCTTTTAGAATGACTGGAAGCATTTCAATGTTTTCTGAAATTTGCCATAACAATCTGAAAACAAAAATGGAAGTATTCCGGGTCTTCCTAAATATTCTAGACTACTACGAATCTATTCTAGAGTCTCTAAAATATTAAGTGACGGCTTGAAAGCTTCTAGATTACATTGAAGCCTTTCAGAGCTTCTAAAACATTTTATGATATTAATAACACAAACTTAGCTGTTTTGAACCACTCCAGGGTCCCTAAAAACATTACAGAACACACTAAAGCTTTTTATGAGCTCCTCAAACAATCAATTATACTCGCAAAAACTTCTAGACTGACCACAAGCCATCCAAAATGTCCTGAAATAGTCAGAAAACAAACACGAAAGTTTTCTGGAGCTCCGTACTTCTCTATCCAGAACTTCTGAAACATTCTTGGCATATTAACGGAAAACTTGCTGTCTTGAAGTAGTCCAGAGACACCTAAAACAGTACAGATTGCCCTTAAGCGTTTTAGGTGTCCCTAAAACATTCTTGACAGTCCTGAAAACTTTTAAGACTACCATCAAGCCCTACAATACGTCCTGAAATAATAGATGACAAACCAAAATCAAATATGGCTCCCCAGAAACGCTGTATAGCCTCGAAAACATTTCCGATTGCTCTGAAGCAATTCCAGGGCCCCTAAATTATTAAATCTCGTTCCTTAAAGTTCACAGGCTAGCTTAAAACTTTCCAAAATCTCTGAAACATTCTCTAACCAGTCCAATGCTACCATGAAGAAGTCTAGAATCCATTAAAACATTACAGATTGCCATTAAGGGGACAGTCTCATGCGAAACTTTCAAAAAATCAATTTTATTTTTTTTTATAAATCGCTTCCATTTATATTCAAAAACTCCCTCCTAAAATTTTAAAAAGAAATTCCCACTGGAATAAAAGTTAAAGTTATTTTATTAACGTCATCTACGCACGTATGAAAAACCGGTTTCTCTCCGCCCGGCGAGCGCGAGGCTCCAGCTTTTCTTGCTTTTGTATATATGTTGTATATACGTTGGGTATGTATTAGTGATTCATTTTTATATAGTATGTATATCAATATAACGTTTGGCAGTTACTATACACATTTGGAATTTTTAAATCCGGAACATAGGATTTTTTACAAATACTAAGATTCTCTGCGTTGCAATTAACCAGTGTAAATTTCTTTATAACTTCGCGATGTTTTATAACTAATTTATTTGTTCTACTGGATTACTTCTCCTCAGCGGTTTGTAGTAGCGTATATGGCACGCCGACAGTGTTGCTCCGCCTACCGATTTTTCCTGAAAGTCCGGTTTTGTGCAGATAATAAATAATGTTTTATTAACATCAATTTTGTTTGTGTTCATTAGGTATTATTTGAGTTATAAAATTTATACTTAAATACATTTATTAATCCAAATATTGTTTATAATTTCAAATTAAAAAAAGTGTAATATAATTATTTTATTTTTAAAATTCCTTTTTATTTTTAATTTTAGAAATCAACTTTTTTTTTCAAGCCGTTTTGGCAATAAAAACGTAACCATTTTTTTTAGATATAAAATATTTTCATATCTACATTTATAAATAAGTACGTTTTCGTTGAATTGACATGCGATCTAGGTGTGTTCCGTTTTTACACTTACACTGGAAGCATCGCGGCGTGAATTAAGAGTGAGACTCCAGTCAAACAAATGAAATTAATTATAAAACATCGCGACGTTGTATTGAAATTTACAGCTTTACAAAGCCATTTACAATAACTGTTGGATGAAGACGTTCCTCAATATTCACCAGGAATGGCCGATTAAACGTGAGTATAAAGTTATCAGCCTTTTATTCACGAAAATTATGTAAAAAAAAACTTCAGATGCTTTTTTCTCAAAAGTAACATTTTCAACTGGTCAGACACTTTTCTCCGAACCTTCTTAACCGATTTTAAAAAAACCAAAAATTTTTCGAATGCATATACAAAATACTAGATGATAAACCTTTAAAATATTTAAAAAAACCACCCCCCCTTTTTATTATATATGGGTAAATGCACCGAAAAATATAGTGATTTTTCGACTTTTTTGAAAAAAATTCGTATAAACTCTTCAAAATAATACAATTTGCACATTTTAATGGTTTATCATCTAGTTTTGAGTCTCACAAATTACAACCCATTTTGAAATTTTTTGAATATCTGTTATAGGTGACCCACAAAGTGTCTTACCACCAAAAACGCACTTTTTACTACACGCCATCTACAGGACACCAATGAAGTTAAAATCGCTATTAAAAATTTTTATTATGTACTTCAAGATTTACTTAATCATCTCCAAAAGGAATTACGTTAATAAATATTATAGTTTTTTTTTTTTCTGCTTTAATTTTAAAATACATCTTTTTTTTTTTAATCGCATGAGACTGTCCCCTTAAACGGTTCTAGGGCTTACAAAACATTCTATATCAGTCTTGAAAACTTTTAAGACTAAACGTCAAGACCCACAAAACTTCGCGAAAAATTCTACGGCAAATCTCAACACAAAACTAGTGGCCTAAAAATACTCAAAAGCTTCGAAAACTTTTCAGATTGCTCTGAAGGAATTTCAGGGCCCTAAATTATTAAATCTCGTTTCTTAAAGCTCACTGGCTGGCTTCAAACTTTCCAGAATCTCTGAAACATTCTCTAAGCGTCCCAACGCATACTTCGCTATCACGAAGCAGGCCAGAGTCTCCTAAAAATACTAGTGATTGTCTTTAAGCGCTCCAATAATTCTTAAAACATTCCATGGCAGTCGTAATGACTTCTATACTGACCCGAAGATTCGTAGAACGCATTCAAAGTGTTCCACAGTGTAAAAACTTTCCCAAAATGCACCAGGTTGACCTGCAGTACTCCACAGTTCCTTAGGATAATTCCGGAGGAATCATAAAGGGATTGATTTCGAAATTTACTAGTCACATAAATACGTTCAAAAGTTGATGTCGACGCACTCAATATTAATTTTAATGTTAGCACATTTTGAAGGTCTCACTGAGTATTAATAAAAAAAAATAAGTAAAACATGAATAAACACTTACGACAACCTTCTATAATGGTTTAACCATTCCTCCACCATTTGAGCAACTAATAAAGGTCTTTTATTTAATAACTGCTGGGCAACTAGTATACCGTTTTCTGTTTCGCATACGTCCAACCATTGGCGTAAGATTGCTTCTTCTCTCCCCAACTAAAAACCAAATAGAATATTAGTTAATGTAAATATAATGTGCAGTAAATATTAAGCACAAAAAAGAGTTTGTGTCCATTTATCTGAACCCTCAATTTCCCTCAAAACAAAATTTAGATTGTCTTTGATTTTTAAAGGGCTACGAGGGATGTCCAATAAGTACACAAAAGCCAAATATGTACAAAAAATAAAAAAATATATATAGGTTACCTCTGACTCGGTTTAAAAATGAATCGGTAACAGTTTCCTATCCCTATCCATCAGCGGCAAGAAGGTGCTCCTCATGTGATCAGGTCCGAGGTTGCTGTGTTGTAGTGGGGGTCTGGAATCTATTCTAGTGTAAGGTTCGATGGGAACCAGCGCCGAGAAGTGACCTCTGGTGTAGCCTAGAGCTATTGGAGTACGTATGCAGAAGCTTTGTTCCCACAGCAAAGGTAAGTATACACCTGGAAATGATTAGAAAAGAAAAATATTACGTAGGGAGTCTTATAATATATCTGGATGTTAATATTATTAGCCAAAAACACATTTAAGACAAATTACTACATAATATATAAACTTACCTTCGAACCGCGCATACCCAATGGCCTCCCCTCTAAAACTCTTCACGTATTTTACTCCGTATACGATTATAGGACGCCTGAGTACGTGCGCCAACGCAAACACGTGCAGTTGTTCCAAGCTCGTGCCCGGTTGATTGGCCAAAGACAACAAGCTCGTCCAGTCTTCCTCCCATTGTCCCTCCTCTAAAGAATACTGAAGAAATGAGGCGTGGCTCGATTCGTACTCCTTCCACCTCGGGTAGAACCTTTCAAAAACATTCGTGATAAGATATTTTTCATATAGTGTATATAACTTATACAATAAATTAATTCATACACAAAATTTTCGTGATGTAATATTTTATTGACTTACATGTGTCCCCCTTGGCCTAAACTCTCTGCCAACGCCCTCCTGAGCATATTGTCCCTATCGAAAACTCCCCACGTGGCTTGCATCACCGAATCCAGAAGGCAATCGCCGGCGGATCGATTCCATAAGGCATACAGTCTCGATCCTAACCGAACTGTTATATCTAACGACCAATTGATCACAGCCGGATCGGTTTCGAGTTGTTCTTGCGCATCTTTGTCTAATAATTCTGTAAATAGCTGCTCTTGAACTGTGGTTGGGAGTTCGTCAACTTCTGTAAAAAAATGTATATGTAAAAGATGTAATGCAGAGCTTCAATGAGCTTCCTAAAATATTCTATGACAGTTCCAAAAGAAACCTAGCTTTTCTGAGATATTCTAGAGTCCCCTAAAACATTTTAGATCGCTCTGAAGCAATACAATCTTTCCCCAAATACAAAATATTGGTCCTTAACGAAACCAGACTGAGCTAAACCACTCACAACACAAACCTGGGTATCCTAAAAAAGTTTAAAGCCCCTTAAAAACACAGCACACTGCCCTAAAGCGTTCTAAGCGCCCTTGAAAGATTTCATGGCAGTTTAAAAACAAACCTAGCTTTTCTGAGATATTCTAGAGGACCCTAAAACATTTCAGATCGCTCTAAAGGAATATCATGTTTCCTAAAATACGAAATATCGGTCCTTAAAGCTTCACGCTTCCATGACAATTTCTTCTAGAGGGCCTAAAGCTCTTCCTAATGTCTGAATGATTCTATGACACTCTCTACTCTACAAGCATTACAGATTGTCATGAAGCCCTTTAAGCACACTTATAACATTCCATGACAATTCTGAAAGCTCTGAAGTTTTTCTGAATCTGCTAAACATGCAAAAATACATCAAAAGACCCTCAAACATTATATGTGATACTGTTAAAACAAACCTGGCTGACCTGAAGCTCTGCAGAACCCCTAAAGCATTAATGATAGTGCCAGAACAGGACTGAATTTCATGAAGCAGTCCAGCGTACCCTAAAAATGTTACAGATGGTTGTACAGCGCTTGAAGATCCCCAAAAAGATTCCTTGATAGTCTCAATACAAATATAGCTAGCTTGAAGTAATCCAAAGATGCTTTAAACATTTCAGATTGCTCTGAATCAATTTCACAGGCCCTAAAATATTCAATAACGGTTCCTAAAGCTTCCATATTCCTCTGAAACTCTCCAGGACATACAAAACACATCATGACAACTTAACACAAACCTGGTTGTTCTGAAGCAGTGTACAGGTCCCCTAAAACATGATAGAAAGTCCTGAAGTGCGCCTAAAACATTTCATGGAAGCTTCAAAGCAAAACTGACTGCCTTAATTTAATGCAGAATCCCTAAAAACTTTCACCTTGTACTGAAGCAATTCCGGGGTCCCCAAAACATTAAATACCGGCTCTGAAAGCATTCTTCTGAAACTCTCCAGTACCTATGCAACATTTCATAACAGGCCCAACACAATCCTGGTTGTCTTGAAGCAGTGTAGAGTCCCCTAAAAATATCACAGATTGCCCTGAAGCAGCCCTAAAACATTTAATGGCATCTTCAAAACAAGCCTGGCTGCTCAGAATTACTCCAGAGCACCTAAAAAATTTCAACTTGCACTGGAGCAATTCCAAGGTTCCTAAAATATATGGTGCTGAAAGCTCAAAAAGCTCTAAAATATTAAATGATAGTCCGGGAAGCTTCCAAGTTGTCTTTCAGCCCTTCAGAATTTCCAAATCAATAGTCCTAACACAAAATTCATCGTCCGAAAACAATCAAGAGTTCCTGAAAATATTATAAATATCCCTGAAGCGTTTCAACAGGACCTAACACATTCTATAACAGTCCTGACAACTAAAGACTCACCTGCAGGTAATGTAAAAGTTGGAAACTCCGTGACGAAATTACAAGGAAAATTTCCTTTTCTCGATCGAATAGTGGAAGCAAAATGTCTACGAATGTCGGCTGCTATATCTGGTGCTACATAACTAGGTACTCGCTTAACGCCCGAACCGGATCCTTCAATTTGGGATAGTAATACGGCTAATAAATCTTCTCTTTGAAATCTGTGAAAAGAAATATAATATTTGTTTATAATTGCTGGATGGCAGTAATAAAAAAAATGTCTTAAAAGAGAAGGGAAATTTTTTTACCAAACGTTGAAGTGAAAAGAGTTTATTTGTCAATAAACTCATTGCTGTTGATACACTCTGGGCATTTTTCGATCTCAATGGTCTTTCTCTCTCGATAGATGAGTCCTGGTGTGTAAAAATGGATGAAGGTTATAGTTTAGGTTTTAAAATGTATTTCATGACTGTTTGGAGGTGATGTTATTTTCTAAAGCTTTGGAGAGATTAGGAAATGCCGAAAGATCTTAATCTCGATCTTCTCCACGTGGTAGAAAGAACACGCATTGAAATTACAAGATAAGTATTTATAAAAATGAAAATAATGTTTGTTAACCGAGAACTTCCTCTGGAGCTGAGGATAAGAGCCTTAAGATGGTACGTGTTCTCGACTTTGTTGTATGGAATAAAAAGCTGGACACTAAAAGTGGATAATATAAAGAATTTTGAAAATACCATGGACCCAACGAGTTACAAATGCAGAAGTGATAAGAAGGCTGCAAAAGGATTGCGAGATCATAAAGCATATGAAAAAAAAAAAGCTGAAATATTTAGGGCACATTACCAGAGATGCGAAATATGAGATATTAAGACTCATAATGCAAGGTAAAATCGGTAAAAGATCCATAGGAGACGAAGAATTTCCTGGCTAAGAAACCTAAGAGAGTGGTATAGTTGCAGCTCACTATAGGCAATCTCCGATAGGAGAAGGAGCTACAAGAAGAAGGTGATGTTGGGTAGGGCACTCTTGGAACCAATTTGAAACTGAATGTTCAGAGATTATATTTCGAGAAGTTCTTCGATTGCTTTGACCTATGCAATAATGAGGATAAGGAAAGTTCAAACGTTTCTATTCTGTCGTTTCGAATTGAGTCTTTAATAATCTGAAAAGGAAAGAAAGTTTTGATGTGAAGTAAAGATGGTTTCTATTGGTTAGAAATGTTTACCGATTTTGTCCGTGACAGTTTAGATGCATCTTTAATGTTTGTTTTTTTAAACGTTCGTATTGATGTCTTGAATGACAGGTTCTTTTAAGGAAATTAGTTATGTACTTATGTTTATAGGATCTCAGAGAGAACATATATGAAATATTAAAATTTTCAAAGCAAATCGGAATTTTTCTGCTATAGCTTTGCTACTTTTTAACTTATCTGGACAATATTCAACTTATCGGGAAAATATATAAGCGAAAACACTTACCTTATAGCTAAATGAACTAAAGTATGCCCGACATCGAAGGCAGAGCTTCTATTCAACATAGACACCTCTGCTGCTGTAAGTGTTCGGGCGGGATCGCCTCCGGAACTAAGGTAAGCTTCGACGGGATTGGGATCCCCGTCTATCACACCCATGCAAGCATTCAGCCAGCGCCAATCGGCGTTACGCCGAACGTGCCTTAGTTTACGATCGTTTTCTAAATTATTTGGACTTGTAGCGGAATCTGAAAGCGTTCAGTTAAATTTTCGTTAATATTTTAATCAATTAGAGGCACATGATAAACTTAACGAGTTTTGGTCTTGATATTTATTATGTTTATAGACATTACGAATAGTTTGTGGTCATATTACGATGAAAATACCATTCATTAATTAAAATTTAGATTTTTTCCTCATAGTATAAAGAAAAACGTCATTCACGGAAATTTCACGACACTGTCTTGATAAATGAGGCCACCAGAACCAGAGTGGCCCAAGTGTCATTTTTTCATATTTAGACTTTATCACAAAAAACGATGTGAAATAATATTTTCAAAGCCACAGTGGCCCAAGATTAGTTTTCTCCGAGAATAACAGATGGCGACACTAGCATTGTTTTGGCATTGTAATTTTATACTCCATTTTAAAAATCATAGTGACCCAGGTGACTTGGGTCACTCTGGCATTAGCACCCCTTAACTGTCATTGTGATTATTATTGAGAGGTTATTTGCGTGTTTCTCATCAATTCATCAATTTCGCAAGGGAAAATACGTGGAAAAAATGTGAAAAAAAACAAACGAACTAAAGGTGTAGAATACACTAACACTAAAGGCGTTTTCGTTCTCGCTAAAACGATAAAATACACAATGTCGATGTCCCTGTAAAAAAATGCCACGAGAAGATCGACCTGAAGGACAATGAGTTACTATTTTCCGAATTTTATGGATTATCAAATTTTAATTTGCAAAGCTCATACCTGTTCACTCGTAATGTCGTAATTAAAGCAAGATCATGTAAACAAAATGCAAACGATGCCACAACAAAGCCGAGAGAATTTTCCAGACTGTATCATTTACCAGACATGAACGGAAAACAAATTCGTGTTTGCAAGTCATTTTTCAAACATGTCCTTCAAGTATCAGATGGACGTCTCACAAGGGTTTTAAAAATAAATCAGTTGGTGGATACACCCCCTATTGACAGCGAGGTAAACATGTCCAAAAAACAAACCCCTGAGCTGAAAGAAAATGAAGTAAAGGAGTTCATTAATACTTCCAAAATACGATTCACACTACATCAGACACAAAAGTGAGACAAGGACAGTATTTTGCCACCTGATTTGAATTTGACAATAATGGATTACCAATATAAAAAGAAAGTCAGCGAACCTGTTTCTAAATACATCTTTGAAATAATATTCCTGAGAAGTTTCAACTTATCATTCCATGCTCTTACTCGTAATAACAATATTTTATGTAAAAATGCGATAATTTCGAAGTTAAAAAATAGAGACTTGTGGAAATAGTGAAACATTCCAATAAGGCCGAACTTATCACTGCCAAGGAGATTCATTTAAGAAAAAGCGGAAAAGTGCGATGAATAATATGAAAATTGATATACAGTATGCAAAAAAAAACAATGACACCACAGTAATTATATTTGATCTGATGAAGACTCTTCCAACTCCGGTAATTTCAATGACGTTTGGGACCGAATTGACTGCAAATAGGTTCATGTTTATTAAAATTTATTAGAGATAAATGTACGTACAAAAAACTAATACATAATGTACTCAGACTAATGTGGCGAATGAGAAACCGCAATATAAAAAGTGCGGTATTGTATATGTACATTGTATCAAATCCAGCTTATAGTGTGGAACAGATTGATCACAAATTTACAGTGAGTGGCCATTCCTACTCATCTTGTGACCGAGCTTTCGGTTTGATAGAAAAGCAGAAAGAGGTATTTCTCAAAGACATATACATTCCGGAGCATTGAAAACACCGTGATAACAGCAGCGAGGAAAAAGAATCCATTCAAGGTAGTACAGATGAAATGAGACGATTTCATATCGACGAAAAGCCTTAGAAAGTAACATTACGAACAGAAATAAGCGTTGATAGGTCTCAAGTAGAGTGGCTAAAAATGCAGTGGATGTTGTAATAGTAGGATGCATCCATTCTTCATGTATTTTAAATATTCGAAATAATCCAAAAGTACTTTTTACTGAAGTTAACTTCACTCAAAGGAATTCTCAGATGCTGCTAACCTAGAGCTCGAAACACTCTATCCGGATGGAAGAAAAATCAACCCTGAAAAAAAGAAAAATCTGTGTTTACTAGAATATGTTACAGCCCATCTATCATCAATTCTACCACCAACTGGCAGACTCTAACACTGCAAGAAATAAATAAGACGGACAATGAGCGATTTTTTTCAGTCGAGTAGTGTATAATGAAAACACTTACTGTTTAAAAAATATGGTCCAACTGTTTAAAAAAATTACAAAATACTTACAAAATATAGCATCAGGCTATAGACCCATTACAATCTTGGTAATTTTTAAAGTATTATCCTGCAAACTAAGCAATGTGTTTAATATTTACTTAATTTTCTACATTACAAACTATTTTTGGACCAAATCTCTAATTTTGATTTCTATCACTTGGGCCACTCTGATTCTGGTGGCCTGAAATATCAGTTAAAGGGTTAGAGTGGCCTGAAATTTCTATAATCGCAGCCTGACGTGTTTTTTTTGTAAATTGATGAAAAAAAGTAATTCTTAACAAAATTATTGCAATCAAAGTGATGGAAATCTATCGAAAACATGCGAAGACGAGAAAAATACAAAGCATATTAACATGATAAAATATAAAAATTGCATATAAAAATATTTTTTAGAGTAGTTATAAACCATTTAAATCAAAAGTTATATTTTGATTAAATGGCTCTAATAATTTCAGGACCTTGAATGCGACATCAACTGGAATCATTCGAGTTGTGGGTGTATAGAAGAATTCTGAAAATATCGTGGACAGAACACGTCACAAACAAAGAGGTTCTGAGAAGGATGAATAAAGAAATGGAAATTTTAAATGTAATTAAAACAAGAAAAATTAGAATATCTCGGACATATTACACGTGGAGAGAAATACACCTTGCTCCAATTGATTAAGCAGGGAAAGATCCAGGGAAAGAGAAGCATGGGGAGGCGTAGAATGTCATGGCTTCGCAACGTGAGAGAGTAGTAAGATGTTACATCAATTGAACTTTTCAGAGCAGCCGTCTCAAAAGTCCGAATAGCTACGATGATTGCCGACCTCCGCCGTGGTGATGTCACTTGAAGAAGAATAATTTCAGTGTGTCATCACCCACAAAAGGTGTATTGTTCCAAATAAAAAGTACTGGAAGTGCTATTGCTGTGAATTATGCGCGCGCAATGATTTGGCATCGTGACGTGAAACATAACCTAATATAACCTAACTTTCCAAAAATTTTAATTGAATTCGGCGACTTAAGTTTTGAATAATAATTTACTTTTTCAACATTCAACATTGAACAAGAAAACCTAAAATATCTACCTTGAAAGTTCTAGATACACTTAAAGATTATAAACAATAAATTTGCGGTTTTCTTCACGAATATATTACTCACCATCCCACAGAACACTTTATGTCAACCTGTTTTAATAATAATACAAACTTACCTAAAATATAATCCTTAAACCTATCATCTTGATTACGATCTGGTTCTGCAATTTGATCTGGCGAAGGAATTATTAGACTAGATGCTTGGGATCGCTGATTACCACTTCCACACATAGCACACTTTATAGACTTTGGCCAATTTTCGTAAGTACAAAGCTGAAAACCGGTTTTTAAATTAAAAATATATACAGAGTGGACAAAAAGTGTGGAAACTCGCAATTATCTCTTAACACATTGCTTGCTGTCTCGGTCTATGTGACCGAGAAAAAAATTGCCCTGCACGCCAGCCAGGTCTATTGACCGAGAATTTTAATGTAACTGTGGTGCCGGCTCGATCACTATGGCGTGAACGGAAAGTATTACAAAATCCTCTACGACAGGCAACGTGTTAAAATGGATGGACCGAACCATACAAAAATAGGGATACACCTACGAGCCCCTTCCCATATCAGGTCAATCAATCAAGCAATATCCTGTATTTCATCTGACTTTTACAAGTATTGAAATGCGTCAAATACAATCTATTATCAGTAAAAACTATAATTACATAAAAACAGTTAACATAAAAACATATAAAATATACACAAAAACATACAAATTGGTAAAAAGATGCTTGCAAGTATTCTTCTAATGAATAGAAAGTGTTTACCAGAAGTAAGTCTTAACTGTTCTCTTAAATACATATATGTGACTCTTTAACATAATTGGGTAATTTATTATACAAACGAACGCATGTTGGGCCCACAACGGTCAAGTGACGAACAGGGGTCACCAAATCATTTCTGTAACGAAAACCGTAGCCACTCATTAAGGAAACATCAATTTCTGCAAATAAAATTGCATCTATGTGACTTTACATAAACAGCACAACTGAAAATATTCAGCGAAATTACAGTTAAAATATTTAATTGTTTAAAACTGGTCTACAGGAATACAAGCGCCTTCTAAAACGTCATGGTACGAAATATTTTTTTAAGAACAAGCACTCAATTAATCCGCGAGCAATTTCCCCAACAAACTAAGCAATATTGCAAGATTGACTGTACATGAGCAAAATAGTAAAGTTTATAAGATATCTAGGGAGACAAAATTCCTAAGTTGCCATAGAACATAACAGTGCACAGACAATCTTCCCACTACATAATCAACGTGAGAGCTCCAAGACAAATTAGAATCCAGGTAAACACCTAACAACTTAGTGGAGTGGCTATTTACTACTGACCCATTGTCAAGTTTTACTAATGGACTCGTCTGCATAGTAGAAGGTGAAACGGTTACCATATTGGTCTTTAGATGAGGGCATTGTCTAAACAGTAATGAATCATACTTTTTACAAGACAGTTTGCTTTTTGTACTACATGGAAAAAAACTATTGGAATTTAGTGCAACTGTGGTATCGTCAGCAAATCGAGTGACATAACAGCCTGATTGCTGTTCCACGTTTTTCTACTCGAATGCTTATTGCATCAGAAAAAATTATCTAATGGATTCCGAACCAAACATGTTGAGCTATCGTTTATCAGTTGATTTAAATCATTGATGAAAATCAAAATAAAAGAGGGGCCTATGATACTTCCCTGTGGAACTCCGGAGGAGGACACTTTTTTCTGAAGAAAATATTATTTTGCCATTCACATTGATCTTAATTTTTTTAAACCTTTTCGATAAACAGTGTGGATCCACTTTAACGCAGTTCCTCTAACACCACTATGATAAAGTTTTTCCAGCAGTATTACAGCTGTTCCCTAACCCTGTCTATGCGTTGACTTATGTCAACATACGTTGATTTTTTCATAATTACGTTAAATCTAGAGGTAGCTATGGAAAACTGACATCAAAACAATAATATTGTCAGTTAATGTCAAACGTATGTTGCAGTATTGTAAAGCTTTTTGCTGTTTCTGGATTGTACAACGGGTCTAGGTAAAGTTATAGATAAGAAAATTTGTATAATCATTATTAAATTTTTTAATTCTGGAAAATACAATTCGGAAATTGTGAATACGTTGCAATTGTCACGCTATAGGGTAAGATATATAGTCAGAAGACTCAAAACTACAGGTTCGGTCGTCACAAAACCTAGAAATGTAAAAAAAGTAAAATAACTGAAGCAGATCGATGGACATTAAGACGCATTATAGTGAAAAATCGACGAGCATTTAGTTTTTATAGTTGAAAAAATTAGTACGAATTGTTTTTAATAAACTTCATTTTATTTTAGGCTAAATAAAAACCACTTTTAACATTACAACAAAAGAAAAATGGACTAAGATGGTCAAAAGAGCATAAAGATTGGACTCAGTCGCAATGGGATTCAATACAACGGGGTGATGAGTTCAGATTGGAATGTGTGTGTTGGAGGACAGTAGGAGTCTAGGAAATTCTAGGAAAAATGAAGCTTTCCATCCCCACTGTCTGAAGAGAAAAGTTAAAATTTCCTACATCTGTCATGATCTGGGGCAGCATGTCGTCAAAAAGTGTGCGAAAGTTACATTTTATTGATGGGATTGTAAACACGGACAGATATTTTCATATGTAGATGCCGCGTGGGCGTAGAATAGCATTACATTTTTGCGTTTTATATTATTTTTTTTTTGAAGAAAATAAAATATTTTAACTTTTAATAACTAAATCTTTTAGAAAAAATATTGTGATTCAAATTTTTAATTTAAATATGTACAAATCTACAAATAATATAATATAATTAAACCTCTCTTCTTATAAACTATAAATAAAACTAATTAAAAGGTGTTTCAAAAAATTCTAAGGTGTTTTGAGCAAAATTGTTTTTTATACATCATTTATAATAAGTAATGTTTTTTTTGTATAATGTACTTTTTTTATTTTGAATATAAGTTTGTTTCTGTACTGATGGTAATTTTTAATCCCACTATACAACACTAATGGGACATATATGTCCCATGTCCTTTCCAAGGATACAAGTGACACTTAACAATGTAAAAAATTAATTGCTTTGTTAGGTATCAACGAATAACATTAAAGTCATTTTAAACAGTTTTATTTAGCTACAATGAAAATCAGTAATGAAAGAGTTAAATCACCAGGAAAACTCGTAGGATCTTAAGATAGATTATGTAAAATTAAATGCATAATAAAAACAAAAACAACTGATCTGTAACTGTAAGAAACTTGTTGATTCTCAACCAAAACACATTTTAAGGTTATAAAAGCCATAAAAATTTAAAAAAAAATGAAATCATATTATTTTCCTTTTGTTCTTTTATAATTAATAAATAAGAAATAATAATATCACTTGTGATAAAACAGTGTAAATGGCAAAATGTCTATTGCTAATGGTTTAACAAAACACATTCAGAGAATTTCCCTGTCTTCATAATTCACTCTGTATTAAATCGATTACTTACCGAACATATCCATTTTGACTGTGACGATCTTCGTGCATTCTCTATATTCGTTACACTAGCGGGGGGACTGTTGTTTCTCGACCGAGACAAACTTTGGGCTAGATCGGAATTTTGGGAGATTCGCAGCGGTTGGATGTGTTCATGTAAAGTCTGTGACGATACGGAAGTACCGCCACAGTTAACGCATATTCCCGACAGGTTGAAGGAGCATTTTGTACATTTTGATTTGTTCTCAATTGGACCTGCTGCCGATTCTATGCTGGAAGGGAATTTGTCTTCGGTGTTGTGTGTATCATCATGTAACCTATAAAAAGAAACATTTTTGATATAAACAGTGATAAAATTGAAGTTTTCAAGTTGTCACCCGGTATACAACGGTTTCATAGCGTCTATCATTGCTATCTTTTCTCTTCTATAAACTTCTTCATCAATCCCTACCTTTTCTGATGTTAGTTTCCCAAGTTGTTTTTAATTGGCCTTACTTTCTTCTCTGTTCCACGATGCTCCCGATAGTTTCTTTTACTCCATTCAGACTATGTGTTTATACCACTTTAGATGTTGTTTTTTCACATACACATCCATGTGCAAACATATTTGATAAATTGAGCAACTAATAGTAATTTTAGAAAACTTACCTGTATATATCTTCATTAACAAACGGTTTGGGACCTCTGCACATAGTGCACTTAATAGAAGAAGGGTAATTTTCGTATGTACAATATTCACATGACCATTTCTTATCGCTGTCGCTCATTTTGAGATCGGTTTTTAGCCTGATTATTGCAAACTAATTCAAGCCTCACTCCACTGTCATGAATTTACCATAATTAGAGAATTTCAATACAATTTGTTGTACTCTAAGAGCAGCAATGTTAATATTAATTAGTCCGACATGACGTCACTAATACCTGAAACAAAAAAAAATTGTTAATGAAGCCAAAATGATAAATTTTTCTGTTTTAATATTTTAACGAATGTGAGCAGTTTTCTGTTTTAGGTTAATCATCAGCGTTTTCAAGCCGTCAATTATTTATCTACATAGACAGAGTGCAGCATATGAAGTTAATAGATGAATTAAAAAACATCAATTTAGACAAAAAAGTCATTGAGTTTATTAAGGCTATATACTGGAACCAGAAAGCAGTAGTAAAGGTGAACGACATAGAAACAACATAATATACCGATTGCGAGAGGGGTCAGACAAGGATATGTCTTGTCCCTGACACTTTTCAACGTGTACAGGTCATATTCAGAAAAGCCTTATGGGAAAGAAAAGAGGGAATAAGAATTGGTGGAGAAATCGTAAACACCATGAGATTTGCAGTGTAACTCGACACTGATTGACTTTTATTCATCTGACCGCGGAAATCTATCCGAACATATATATATATATATATATATATATAATATATATATATATATATATAATTATATTTACAGAAATGATAGAAAATATTCAATTGGTCACCATGTAAAGAAAATTATATTTATTTATTTTCAAAGCATCACCAAACATAAACATGTGGTATTGGTTAATTATAATAGTTTCCACTAAGATATTTAATGTACAAAAACATAAACAATATTTGTTTTGTTGTTGGAATTCCAGACGAAATAATTTTATCTGAATGTTTCTGATTTTTTTTATATATAATAAATTTAGACGTTGTAATTAATACAATCATAATAATTAGCATTTTATATGTGCATTTTGTAAATAATTTTAATATGTACTAATTAATTTCTATATATGAAGCAGATGCCTGCAAAATATAATTATTAAGGAGATCTTTTTCTTTTAACAATTTAACAGCAGCTGTTTTACAAGTGCATTATTGCTAATAGCTCAACTGATCAGATAGACATAGGTCATTCATTTATTTCGTACATTTAATTAAATTAGAAAGGACTACTGACTTCTCTGAAGAGTGGGAAGAGCCCTGGACCTGACAATCTTCCTATAGAAATCCTAAAAATTCTAGATGAGAAGCACATTGATGTTTTAGTGACACTCTTGAACCAAATTTTATAAATTCAGACGTATTACCCAAAGAGTGGTTAATGTCGATTTTTATTTGTCTCCCAAAAAAAAGCAAGAGAATGCAGCGATTACCGCACCATTAGCTTGATGTCTCTCATGCGCTAAAGTTACTACTAAAAAAAAGTCATCCATAACCGAATATATCACAAACTGGACATAGATGTTAATGATACACAATCTGGTTTTCGCAAAGGCCTAGAAACACGTGAAGCTCTTTTTTCACTTAATATACTCATACAAAGATGCCCTAGATGTCAATTACTATATATTCGCATGTTTATATTGACTATAAATAAAGCATTCGATAAAGTACGACATAAACAATTTAATAAATGTCCTGAAATCAAAGAAGATTGACTACAACGATCTCAGGATCATATCAAATTTATACTATAAACAGTGAGAAAAAAGTATGTGTCAACGAATAGCGTCAGAAGAAATTGAAATTAACCGTGGAGTGAGACAGGGATGCGTATTGTCGCCAATTCTTTTTAATGCCCACTCTGAAGAGATCTCGAAAAAAGCTCTTGAGGGTGAAACAGCTGGAATAAAGGTAAATGGAGTTCCCATTAAAAACATTAGATAGGCGAACGACACTGTGATCTTGGCCGAAAATATTGAAAATCTTGAGAGACTGGTGGCCAGAATAGCGGAGTACAAAAAAGAGTATGGTCTAACAATGAACATCAAGAAGACGAAATTTATGAGAATATCGAAAACTCAAAGAAATAACGGGAATCTTCAATAAACGGAACCGACGTTGAACAAGTAGACTAATATGCACATCTGGGAACAATGATTAACTAAACAAATGATTACTTTCAGGAGATCAAGATCAGAATAGAAAAGGCTAGAGCAAATTTCAACAAAATGAGAAGAGTATATATATACAAGAGATTTAAAATCAGAACTAAGAGTTAGGTTGGCGAAGTGCTGTTTTTTCGACTTTGTTTTTATGAGTTTGCAAAGTTTTTTAAGAATTTTGAAAATATTGTGGACAGAACATGTCACAAACAAAGAGGTTTTGAGAAGGATGCCATAGCTACGCAAACTGAGAGAGATGGCCGCCGAGAAAATGGCAGTTGAAAAAGAAAGAAGACTGACCTCTCTGGCTCATTGAAAAAATCTGAAGAATTGAATAAAGCTGTCGAAAAATTATCAATTAACAAGTAGCTTAGAATAATAGACCAATTATTTCCCAAAGAACTATAGGCCAATTATTATCCACAAAAGAAAAAAGGAATATAATCTGGGAAAAAAGAAAACTGTGACAAAACTGGCAACTCTGCAGATAAAACTATTTTGAACAATGGCCTACAAAATATAAGAGAAAAATCTAGCATATTCAACAAGAACCATAGAAGAATATCTGCTAAACAGTGGCACCTGGGTGTGCAGTGATGGACAAAAAGTGATAAGATTTGAAGATCATCTAGAAAATATATTTCTACCACATGATAGAGAAGAATAATGAAATAAAAAAATATGAACACAAAAAAAGCACCTGGCTTTGATCTCATTACTGGTGAGAGTTGTTTATTAAAGCAGTTGTTGAAGAAAACTATTATAAAATTGACTCCTCTGTTATGATACCTAAACCTGGCAAACCACCTCACAAGGATCATTCTTCTTGTGGTTTCAAATATTTATGAAAAACTGCTCCTAATAAATGAAAATATACAAATTCTAATATCAGAGGTGAAACAGGCAATCAAAACTCAAAAAGTTGTAAAAGGACAGGTCCTGATGAAATTCCAGTAGATATATTAAAAATCCTGAATGAAGAAAATATCGAGTGTCTAAGTAAATTATTTATTAAATATGCTACGACTGTCAAAGTCCTGATGAATGGTTAAACTCTATCTTTTTACCCTTACCCAAGAAAAATAATCCTAAATCTTGCGAAGAATACTGATTAATTAGCCTCATGAGCCGCACATTAAAGTACTACTCAAAGTTATTCAACGAACCCCCTCTGTGGCTCAGTGGTAAGAGCGCCTACCTTTGAACCTAAAGGTCGTGAGTTTGAATCTCACCTGGGTGGAAATTTTCATTTATTAAAAAATTAATAAATGAAAAATAATTTCTATCCTTGTGCGATCAGTACTTACCGGAGGAACCGCAGACGTTCGGATACAATTAGCGTCTCTTAGCAAAGACAATGACGTCAACTTTGCTAAGTATCAAGACAATTACTGTACACACACACACACACTACACTAAAATAAAAAATTTTTATTGTTGAGAAAGATTTCTTTTTAACAAGATCAAATTTGCAAAGATTAGGTTGAATCACAGTTAAGGCATTTTTCTGGAACCTATATTTTTCATTTTCCACTACCTGTTATTGAAGAAATCAAATACATGCACAATTTTGTGAAAAATATGATAATCATGTTCCAGTGTCTTTTAATTTGTTCAATCTAGAACTCTGTAAATAACTTTTAGGTTTTTCTCAAGGTAATTTTTTTTATAAAAGTTCTAATCCCTTGTCTGTATCATAATTCATTTCTGATATATGGCTGAGATCCATTCTTAATTGACATATATAGTAAATAATTATTAAATGAAAGACTCTGGAACATTGATCTCAAAATTTACTGTATCTCAGCTGTAGAATGCCATTATTTTTAACACCGGTAAACAAATATTTGTACTTTGACACATTCCCAATAAAAATAATTAACCAAAAAAGTAGAACTATGCATATTAAGATTTTAAAAACTCGTTGGTATATTTAAATAATGTCAATGAACATTCACAATTCCGAATTTATTAGTTTGTGCATGAATAATTAATTAATAATGTAAATAACAGTCAAAGTACAATAAAAACTATAATTATATATTCGAAAAAGGTAAATATTGTGTTTATAAGCACAATCATATTCTGAACTTTTAAAATGACCCTACAGTGTTGCCAATTTACAAAATATTTGCTTAACAACCATTATGTAGTTCCAAAATCAGTTATACTGTGCAATATAAATATATAATATTACCATAAATACATAAATTTAAACTATGACAGTAAATAGTTCAAATATTTAATGCAAATACTTCTTGGTGTACACACCTTTTCATGTAAAACTCAGAGTTTTATATAGAAACAAACGAAAAATAATAAAATATTATAATAATACAACAGCTATCATTTCTATGAATTTAGAACTTAGTGAGTTAAAATGCACAGCAAAGGGAAACTAAAAAAGGGATGTCCACTATTTTTTAACATAAACATCAAAATATCAGCTTGTAAATTTATGAAATGTAGAAAAAATACACACTGCAATCAGAACAGAAAGCCTTTGAAGACCAATTTGATAATTAAACAAAGAAAAACAAAAATAATGGTTAGTGGAAAAAAATCAGGGAATCTGAATATAATGAGCCCATCAACATTACTAACTAGGGAGGGATAACGCCAAAAATATTAGGAAGATATTAAAGTATAGAGAAAGTGTACAAACAAATAAAATGTAAACTGTCAAATTGATCCCAATGTTGAAATTGTAAACATAGTGCAAATGTTCCGCTTCACAAACAGTAAATTTAATGAATCATGTAAATAAAAATTATTTTAGCTACAAATAATCACCTGTATCAAATTTAGCGATAAATCAATTGATAATTTGTAAGTATAAAAAATTGGCATGTACAACTGTAGGGCAATGCCAATGTCAGATATAAATAAATCTATAAAGAATTTCGATTAATACCTACGTAATTATACACCCAAGAATATCACGATAAAAGGATATAGCAACTTTCAAAAGGTCTCTACAAAATATCCTCAGCTCTCACCTTCCACAATAGGGTCATAAATTGTGAGGAAGGCACAACGATACGATTTGCGTGTCGACTCGAAAACAAATAATTTAGATACCATTTGTACAATGCACTACACCAAAATAACAATAATAACGGACTAAATGTCAAAAATACAATTCTGACAAACTATTTATCACCTGTGTTGCTTCGCTCTGTTTTCCTTTTTCATCGAAAATGAAAATGGACAACTAAATGTCAGTTTACTGTCAAAGTTGCCGGTAATGCAGGCATCGCCACTATTCTAGGCAATAACATCCGATGTTACCCGAATGAACTTGGGCGGACGCATTATCAATAATTCACAAAAACAAGTAAACAAAGTATACTAATTTTGTACCATTTTTTAAAGTTAAACACTTGCACGTATAGATTTGCACGATTTATACAAAGTGACGTCACTTGTATTTAAAATTTCCAGAACATCAACCTTAGAGTTCAAGTTTTCCTAACACAACTAATAATACGAAACCCATACGGAACTGCTCGATCTTTCATAGGCGTCACCATGGTGGAATAATCAGAAAAATATTAAATAACCAAAAACATTTGTTATTATTAATAATATAAATTTTATGAAATAACTTTTTAAGTCTAATATTCCACAAATTAATAATTTTAATTAAATATATTAGACATTTGTACGCAACTGATACGTAAATACTTCAAATTTTTTTGACAAAAGGCAAAGTTCAGTGGGTGGCTAAAGTGTATTAAGTGTTGCCGCTTTTTAGAGTAGGAACTTTGTTTATGTACCACATATTTATAGACTACAAGGCAGCCTACGACTCTGTAAATAGAAGAGAATTGTTAAGAGCAATGATAGACCTGGGAGTACCAAATCAGTTGGTAAGTCTAACCAAACTAACCCTTGAAAAAGTTGAATGCAGAGTACGAATCTCTGAACTTTCTCTTTTTATATTTACATAACATACAACATATACCTGATGCGGTAATATATATTCTTTATCTATGTACCTGATGCCGCAGCACTCTATAATTCAGAGCACTTTTATCAATTACCGAAAAATTAATGAATGAAAATAATTTCTATCCATGTGCGGTCGGTACACACCGGAGGGACCGCAGACGTTCGGATACAATTAAGGTCGATTCAGACACATCAGTCCCGTCATAGTCTCGGCGCCGAACCGGTCCTGTTTGGTCACAGAACTATCAACTATCTGACAGTTGGGAAACTGTTTGTCAACTGATGAGTGTGAATGCGGGCAACATATTTTTTTGTACTTATTTGTATTAAAGAATATTTTGTATGACGGATTGTTCGGTTCGGCGCAATCACTGTGACGAGACGTGACTGATGTGTCTGAATCGACCTTTTAGCAAAGACAACTGTACCATGCCAATGATCATAGTTGTCGAGACATTAACGCAATAAAAAAAAATCTTAATGGGGATTTCCCAATGACGTATAATATACGTCATTTGGGATTCCCCTTAGATTGTTGGAAATATTCATTGTACCATGGTTGGAAAGAACCACAGATTTACGCAAGCGCATACGTCAATATCGCTGAAATAGTGAAATGAGTAAATTGTAACAAAATTTGACAAAATTCTGTCTAAAATGTAGACATTACGAAATTGTATAGAAGATCAACTGCTATATTCTCCACTTGCCCTTTTGTTTTCACCAGTCATTTACAAGTTTTTGATATTCATTTTGATCATGTGATGTGTACGGATGTTTACAAATACAAAGGTCATAATCAGAAACGGATGCATTATATTTAGTGCAAAGATAAAAATATAGTAAAATTCTATATACAGTGTATGTGTATGGTTTTTATTTCAATAGATATAATCAATAATCAGTTGCAAAATTGACCATCAAAGAAGTATTAATATAGATAATTGCATTCGCGGTAAGTTTTGTTTTATGTGTAAAACTAAAATTATTATCTAGAATATTTTGTGACCTCTTGTTGATCTTGTTAAAAATACAAGATCATCTACGAAACCTACAAATTTTATATTTTTACATTATTACAACGATCTACTATTTGGTAAGATTAATTTTTTCGTTTTTATTTATTTAGAAAATGGTTAAACGCACAAGATGCGCCCGTTTCGTAAATTTGACCAAAGGTACAACCCCAGACGAACTAATACAACATATACAGAGATTTGTTCCTTCAATAGCCAACGTCGAAAAGGTTTATATGAGTGAGGATTGCCATTTACAGTTAATATTCGCATATGTTATATTTAAATGTCACGATGATGCAACTAGGGTGGCTAGTCGATTAAACCAGACGAAATGGAAGAAGCTTTGCTTAAATGTTGAAACCATTGGTCCGTATCTCGAATATACTGAGTACAATAATGAAGAGGAACTTCCAGAAGGTCCTGCAATCAAAAGAATCAAAAGAGAAATAGATCTCAATCTATCTGATGTAGAGGTTGATATGGACGATTTATATGCAAGGTATTCATCATATAATTCACCAATTTATAGACCATGCAGTCCAAACTATGAGATAACTTATCCAGGTTATTCGTCAGGTAGTCTAGACTATTTGCCAAGTAGTCCATCCTATATGCCAAGTAGCCCATCCTATAGGCCAACCAGTCCTGAGTCTACTAATCCAAATTATATGCCAACTGGTCCAAACTATAATCCAACTAGTCCATCCTATAGTCCAACTAGTCCATCCTATAGTCCAACTAGTCCATCCTATAGTCCAACCAGTCCATCCTATAGGCCAACCAGTCCTGAGTCAACTAGTCCAAACTATTCACCAACTAGTCCATTATATAGGCCACCAAGTCCATCCTTTAGTCCAACATCCCCATAAGGTCAGACACAATTCAATGTAAATCAAACCAAGTATTTAAAATATGAAAAACATTTATGTAAATGTGACATATTAATTATTTTTCTGTTTATTATTTGATATATGTATTTGTTGTGAATAAAGTGATTTTGATCTGCAGGAGTTTTCTTGTTATTTTTGTTTGTACCTAAATTGGATTGTAAAGATGAAGTTACTTGAAGACTAGACATTGGGAATGAGCCACAATTTTCCCAACAAAAATAGTAAATTACATTAACATGCCACACGAAAATAGCTCCATAGAAGTACTAGATATTGGAGTTCCATTTTGTCCAACCTGAGGGCCCTTCCTCTCTTTTCTGGTAATGGTTTTATTTGGTTTATATCTGTTTAGTTATTGGTTGATATTTATGTTTAGTTAAATACTATTGTAGATGTTTTCTTATACTTATTTATTAATATTTTCTGTACTATAGAGTATCAGCTTTGCAACACAGATACAGCATATGAAATAATCTGTTTAAGTGTTAGACTGATCCTTTAAAGTCTCAGCTTGGACTTCAACACCTTGTGGGTACTAAATCTCTTTGTATATTGTAAGTATAGCGTTTTCAAAGTGCAATTGATTCTTTGTATAAATTTTTTATTAATTTTATGTATAAAATCTATCATCAGTCTATGGTATATCATTCTAGACTTTTTAATAATGAATTATGGTAACACAGTGTTAATACATTGTGTTGACAATTTATTAGTATTGTTAATTATTTGTGTCACCAGCTATTACTAATGATCATAACTTACATTAAAAGTGATTGGTGTATTTTATTTCAACATTTATCTATTCTCATTTCAGTATGTTTACTTTTTATACACCTTCCATGGGAAAAGTATGTATATTATATAAAAAATCATTAAAGAAAAGATGGAGGAATAGCTGTGGATTTCAGGACAAAACATAACATTTTTTATAAAACAACTTACAATGCCAATTGTACATTGTATTCATGGTCCTCCAAAAGCAATAAAAATCACATCTACATAAATTTCATAAAGTGACTTTACGAAGATACTGAATGTAGAATAAAAATTGGACAAAACTACTCAGAACAGTTTAAGTCAATAAAGGACTTTGAAAAGGTTGTCGCCTGTCACCAACCTTTAATTTTTATATGAATTAAAACAGAAACAACAACGTGGAAACATGTACAGATAGCACAAGGCCAAGATGACATAATCTATGATAAAAGGCTGGATGAAAAATTAGAAGATGAGAAAATTTAGAAAATGACAATTCAATAAAACAAATAAATATTTGGGGGAAACTTTAACAAATATCAGATAATAAAATGACAATTACATTTGATTATATGGAGCCATGATATTAGAAGCAAATACAAACACCAAATTTTTAAACAATAGTGGAAGAAACATACATGAAGGATGGACAAGAAAATAATACCACTGAGAACTTAATAATGGAAACCAAATAGGGGGAAAAGGATATGACAAATAAAAATAGCAATTAAAAAAGACATTTATGATAAGAATAAATGGCGATTGGGATGTGGTAAACGGCAAATAGAATATACTGTATACAGCCACAGAAAAATAAGTAAAAACATCATTTTTATTTGATTAATATTATTATATTAAAACATTAACATCATAATAATTATCTTTAGGTGTACACGCATTTAAAAATTGTGGTCTCGAACAACTGTAGAAGTTAAAAATATGACACCAAAACATAACCCTGTTCTTTTAGTTTGTCCTGAAAGGATTGGGGAATTAAACACCTCATATTATTTGTAGAAAACACTCCAAAATTATGTTTAATCACTGTCAAATTCTTCAATTTCATTTAAATTAGAACCTTCTTGACAAACGTCTAGATCTAGTTCAAAAGACTCATATTTAATACATTTTGGTTCCTGCTTATAGGAACACTCTTGTTTATTAATATTTTCCGATTTCTCATCGCTTTGCGTACGATTATCTTTATTTCTGTTATTACTTTCCACCATACTTTTCAAATGCATCCATTCCACATCAGTCTGGATAATTTCTTTATCCACTTTTTCTATAAGATCTGTTAAAACACTTTCTAATTTTTTTAGTTGTAGTAGTTTGCCGAACTCTGGTACTGCGCGTGCATTGTTGTCCATTGTTTTAATAATAATCCAAGAAATATCTAATCTGTTCCTCTGTTCTATTTATATTTGAAATTGGTTCTTTAACTTTAATAGATAAAATAATAAATAAATAGTACAGTATTGTAAGGTTATGGTTATAAAATATAAATACTTCTGTTCTTCTGTAAAACTAGCTTTTACACTTTTACTATATGAGCCTACAGCCACTACATAAAAAGCCAGAAAGGTCATTAAATTGTAAAGGCATTGTTTTGAACAATGGAATCAAGGATGTGTGTTTTTTAAGATGGGGATATCTATATTCTCATAATTATTGAGGATTGAATATAACGGGACTGGGACATTGTTAAAGTTATGACCGGTGGAATAACATATTTTAAAACTTTTTTTAAGAAACATTCAACATTAAATCCACGAGGCCACTACTGAAGAAGCCCAAACTAAGAACATGTGGCAACTTAATTTTTTTTATCGTCTCTTAACATAATTATGACCGGTGGAATAACATATTTTAAAACTTTTTTTAAGAAACGTTCAACATTAAATCCACGAGGCCACAACCGAAGAAGCCCAACCCAGACAGCACAGGACATCCCTGGGACGTCCATTTTATGTCGTTTTAAGGTCCAAACGTCCCGGGACTTCTTTTGGACGTCCAAGGGATATTTCTAGTCGGGCATACCAGAGACGTCCCATAAGGTCGTCCAAGGGACGTCCCATTAGGGATGTATTAGGGACGTTTTCTAGGTGTTAACTGTGTCATTTTTTTACTTAGGCATATTTTTTACAAAATATAATCTTCCTACTAAATTTTATTTTAAAAAGTTATATTTAGTTTTAAATACCATTAATTTATACGAAAACAGACAGAGGCTCCTTTTAGAGAAAAATCTTTATCCTATAGCAGAGCTGTACCTCTAAAATTTTGTTCTGTAGTGGAATTGAAATTTAAAAATTAGGAGATAAAAGAAGAATGTGGTTATGTTTTAACGACGCTTCTATTTATCTCGTTTATTTCTCGAATTATAATCATTGTGGTTGTGGTTGTAATTAGAATTAGTTTATTGCTTTCGATACTAGTTTATAGTTTGGTAATTTCTTATTATAGACATTAAGTAGGTATATAGGACTTTTATAGGTAATTTTTGTGGTTGTGGTGTGTTGCTACATTTGTAAAGTAAGTAGGAGTAATGTGCTTAAAAAATACTATAAATTTAAATACATATGTTAATATAAGTACACAATAAAAATCCCATTTATTTTTGCTTTTCATTTTATTAATTTTAAGTTCCCTTTAGGTCCTGTATACATCCTCATTTAGGTCCTATATTAGTCCATGTGGACGTACAATAGATGTCCCCAATACATCCTCATTTAGGTCCTATATAAGTCCGTATTAAGTTCTGTATATGTACTATGTACGTCCCCATGAACATCCCTGGGACGTCCAGGGGACGTACTTTTTGGTAACATTTAGGTCTTATTGGACGTCCCGGGGACGTCCAAATTATGTAAACGGATGTCCGGACATTTAATGAGGTACATCCTTTGGACGTCCATGGGACGTACTTGTGCTGTTTGGGAAGCTAAGAACATGTGGCAACTTAATTTTTTTTATCGTCTCTTACTATTGCAGGACCATTTTTCATCTGTAACTCACGCAATTCTGTTGGATACCTATCGGTTTTCTATATGGTACAATGTACACAGGTTTTCTATATTACCATTACCAGCATTTACTAAAGACAAGTCATTTGATAGGTACCCTCGGAATATCAGAGTCGGAAACGTGTTCCAATAGGTAACGCAATTCTTCATCAGTTAAATACTTGCTATGTATTTTTTAGCTAAGTATAGTCAACTTTCTTCTGAACCTGTTTTTAAAAGTCATCCACAAAAGAATTTACCGGAAATACGAGCAACAAATTGCGCCCAATCAGTTTGAATTTGTGAACGCCGTTGGTACGAGCGAAGCTTTATTTAGCGTGCAGCTATTGTTTCAGAAATGTAGAGATGTCAGCTGTAATGTTTTTGCATGCCTGATTGACTACAAGAAAGTCTTCGATAGAGCCAGGCATGAACAAATGATGGAAGTGCTGAAGAGGACAGGGATTGGCGGAAGGGACTTAAAAATAATAGCTAACCTGTATTAGAATTAATCAGCGGTGCTCCGCATAAATGGAGAATATATAGATGAGGTCAAAATCTTACGGGGAGTGAGACAGGGGTGCATAATTTCATCACTGATATTCAATCTGTACTCGGAGCACATTTTTGAAGAGGCTCTAAAAGATGTTAATGAAGGAATACCATAGAAGTGCTAAAAAACTTAATGAACAAAATAAGGGAGACAAGTAGAACATATGGACTAGATATAAACACCAGCAAAACTAATGATCATCAGTAAGGAAAATATAATTGGAGCAAATCTGTATGTGAACCAAATGAGAATTTAACGTGTCTCACAGTACAACTACTTGGGAACTGTAATCAATGAGTCGTGGGATATTACCTAAGAGATTAAATGTCGCATCGGAAAGGCCAAAAGTGCATTCTTGACTAAACTCTGTGTTTTAAGAGCCATGACCTCACCATAGAAACAAAAATAAGGCTACTTAAATGTTTCGTGTACTTAGTGCTTCTCTATAGAGTAGAAACCTGAACATTGAAGGCGGAAAACTACATCAAAACTTCAGGCTTTTGATGTAGTTTCCGTTGTTTTGATGTTTTCATATCAATAAAGAAGTACTGCGGAGGATGAACACATCGTGAAGGGCCATAAGCTGCAGCACTTGGGACATGATAAAACAAGGCAGATACGAGTTACTCCAATGCATTTTGCAAGGTAAAATTGAAGGAAAAAAGGGACCCAGGACAAAGAATATCCTGGTTTGCTAGCCTGAGAGCATGGTATAGAAAGACCTCAACACAGCTATTCCGTTATAGCAACCAACAAAATCATAGCCAACGTTCGAAACGGACAGGCACCCTAAGCAGAAGCTACCGACATAATATGTTGAGGGTCTCATGTATAGACCACACAAGTAATATAACTATTCTTCAGAGGCTAAGACAAGACAAAAAATTATTAACACCATAAAGAACACGAAAATTGGCTTAGTTTCGCTACATCATGAGCAATAATAAATACCAACTTTTACAGTTGATTCTATAAGGCAATGTTTGAGGGTAAGGGAGGTCCTGGACGTAGGCGTATATCTTGGCTGGCTAATCTTAGGAAGTGGAATGGTCTAACGTCACTGATCTATTTCAAGCTGCTGTGAATCAAATGCGTCAATTATACGAAACACTTTGGACAGCTGAAGTTAGAACCAGTGAAAGCATTTAGTCGACTGTATTAGGGAAAATCACAATCCTCATTGACGAGATAAGGACAAGAGAGTTGGGTTTTAGAAAATTAAAATTCATATTCTATAAGGCAATGTTGAGGGTAAGGGAGGTCCTGGACGTAGGCGTATATCTTGGCTGGCTAATCTTAGGAAGTGGAATGGTCTAACGTCAACTGATCTATTTCGAACTGCTGTGATTCAAATGCGTCAATTATACGAAACACTTTGGACAGCTGAAGTTAGAACCAGTGAAAGCATTTAGTCGACTGTATTGGGGAAATCACAATCCTAATTGATGAGCTAAGGACAAGAGAGTTGGGTTTTAGAAAATTAAAATTCATATATTTTTATTTATTTACATAAAAACTAAATATACAAAACAAAAACTAGGAAGATTTCTGTTTTAGTCTCTCTTCTAATACCTCCAAATGTTGTTTACTACATTTAAACTTAGACAAAAGTGATAGTAGATGGCGCTTATGTCTCTCAAGTTCTGTTACTTGGATTTTAAGTAGTTTATTAATTTTTGATAATGAGTTCGCATCCTTTACAAGGCCATCTAGGTGATCTTGAACTTTTTTTCTCCGTTTTGCTGCAGCTTTTCTGTTTTCCTGCACGGCGCCTTATCACTCTAATTTCTTCTTCTGACAGACCCTGGAACAGTGCATAAAAAGGAATGAAAAAAGTTGTCGAACAACGCGAAAAACAGCCAGAAAGAATTTTAATAGTAGTATATATATCTATATATATATATATATATATATATATATATAATATATATATATATATATATATATATTTATATATATATAATATATATATATATATATATATATATATATAATTGTATTCTTAGCGTCGTTATATAGAGTTTGTATAACGACGCTAAGAATACAATTCTTTGGAGGGTAACTTTCGGGAAAGCGTCAAAACAAGGATCAGCTAGAGATGTATAAGCCAGTTTGGTGTAGAACTTTATTCTAACCGAAAATTTCACATTTAGAATAAAGTTCTACACCAAACTGGCTTATACCATCTCTAGCTGATCCTTGTTTTGACGCTTTCCCGAAAGTTACCCTCCAAAGAGTTATATATATATATATATATATATATATATATTATATATAATATATATATATATATATATATATATATATATATATATATATATATATATATATGTGTGTGTGTGTGTGTGTGTGTGTGTGTGTGTGTGTGTGTGTGTGTGTGTTGTGTGTGTGTGTGTGTGTGTGTGTGGTGTGTGTGTGTGTGGTGTGTGGTGTGTGTAAAAGATTAAATCTTTTAGCAAAAGCTGCTATCGCTTTATTGAATTAAATGGCCAAATATATGACCTAGGAGGAGGACAAATGGAAATGATCATAACACTTTATTGATACCGATTCGAGCACGGGAAATTTAACGAATTTGTCCTCCTAGGCCATATATTCGGCCATTTAATTCATATACATGCTTAGTTAGTAATAAAACCATGATTACCTGTTGAAATAAAGAATAATTTGTATTCTTAGACTTATCACTGCTAAGTTCTTCGTCTTCATTCCCAGTATCTTCATCATCCAACACTTCCACCTTCATAAGCGCAGGTTCAATAATCTGCAACTCCACTACCTTTTCGGAAGCCTCTTCAGAATCGTTCTTTTCGACCACAGTCACCGCGTCCAGAGTTTCATCGTAATATTTTTGGCGTTCCTTGTGTTGGTCGTTATGGTAATCCCTCTGGCATTTTTTACGCAAAGCCTTTTTTTTTAAATCGGATTTTATTTTGTGTACTCGTTTCAAACATGAATGATTGTATTTAACTAAATCTATAAAATCTGATATTTCTTCGAGTTTTGCAATACAAGAGTCGCAGATGTTTTGTGGTAGTCCATCGTCGTGTTCGACCTATCGACAAAAGTTTGTATAGTATTTTACAGAATAGAGATAAAAGTATACAGTCTATTTTAACCTTCCATCGGTGGCATGTGTAACAAAATGATACAAGCTCGCTAATTTTCAATGCTATTATTGAACCCTAAAGTAAGGAGAATCCACCTTCATAGTACCTTCCTAGATCAGTTTAGTTTACAAAAACTAATATTCCACTGCAAGATACCAGACGCATGGAGAAACAGCATAATGATACCAATGTTCAAGAAAGGAGACAAAGAAGACCCCAACAATTATAGAGGTATAAATCTAATGAACACCGCACCTAAGCTTACCACAAAAGTCCTAACCAACAAAATCAATAACCTAACAACTTTATTAGATGAACAACAAGGATTCAGATCCGGAAGATCCTGCATAGACGCCGTATATATGTACTAAGACAAATCACAGAAAATTAATAGATAATGACATAAAATTGTACAAAACACTACACTAAAAAGAGGACAAACAGTTTAAAATTACTTAAAAGATTCTACGCTACATTCTTTGTCAGTATCTGGAGGGATAATGATCTAAGCGGAAATGATACGGTAACATGTGACATATGACAACTTTGATAGGCAGTCAAAGTTATGAATCTGTGATCAGCACATATTAAAAATTCTGTATAAGTTGTCATTGGCCAAAGGTCCAACTAGAACTACTACTGAAAAATCAGCTGATGAAGTATGACATATAGAATATTTTGATTTAAACTAGATTGCATAATCCAGATCTCACACTCACACCCGTCTGTAATAATAAGGTTGTAGGTTTAAGGCTAAATGTAATGAAGTGTACATAAAGTGTGAATGAAAGAAATAGACCAAACGATCTATTGAACAGTGGGGTAGTTGACTACAATAAAATGGTCTACCAGGCACTGTCAATACTGCAAAACGAGAAGAAAATTGACTATGAAATTGAAATAATGACTAATATTTGCAAAAAACAAGTCTCTCAAGCTGCTTCAGCTGAAAGGGGTAAATTGGTGACATTTGTGGTAATTGTAAGTGCTTCTGGACAAAGCCTGCCTCCCGTTTATGTATTCCCAAGGATTAGAAATGTGGAAGACCTTATAGTTAAAGCGCCAGTGTCAAGTTTGGCATTGGGAAACAAATGCGGTTAGATGACTGCAAAGTTATTTTCCTCGGTACTACAACATATAGTAAAGCATACTCACTGCTCCCTTGAGGATCCCATATTATTGCTGGTTGATAATCACGAGTCCCATGTTAGTCTTCAAAGCGTCAAATTTTGCAAAGAGAGTGAGATTGTTCTATTAAGTTTTGCATCCCATACGACTCACAGAATGCAACCCCTAGATATTGGGGTCTATGGGCCTTTTAAAAATTTTTGTAGCAGGAAAAACCATAACAATAAAAAATATACCAGAATCGACTCACCGAGCATATGCAAGAGCTTTTCAAATGAAAATATTGTGGGTAGTTTTTAAAAAGCCTGGGATTTGGCCATTTAACAGACTAGCTTTTAGCGATGACGATTTTGCCCTAGTTATGTAACAGACAAACCTTTCCATCCCGCAGTAAATCCACACAATCAAAATAATATGGTGGAAGGTGAGGTGAATCTAAAAATATAATGCACATGAAGTCATTCATAGAGAAACAGAAGACCGTGTTGAAACAGATAAAATCAAAAATGACAAAATAGAAGATCACGAAAATCTTGCAACTGAATCAAAAAAAGTAAGAACACGATTAATATTATACATGATATAAGAACCATGCCAACACCAATTTGTTTTGCTGTTAAATGGTTTTATTTATTCTTTAATTTCAGGTTAATTATTTGAACAAAACTTTGATCTACCCATTAATGCTCTTTTATTTTAAAAATATGCATTTAACAAATTTTTATATACAAAAAACCATTTTGTGGTCGAAAGCTCCTTCCCCTACAATATCGTTCGAATATCTACCGTGATTTCAATTCTCTATAACTTTAGATTATCAAAACTTCTATCAAAGGGACAAAGATTAATTAATAATTCAGTTTTTATTACGAATGCTGAACATATTTCTAAGTCCAATAAGACAATAGGAAATTATTATAATGAGATGAATTTCAAAAATTAGTAATATTATTAAAAACCCAAAACAAGTCTAATGTAGGTATGTAATTATAGAAACCAAAGATTATGTCAGGACAAGTGTACTTCATAACAAGAAAGATATAACTAGGTATATACCTATTTATCTATCCGATAAATTGCCAATTTATTGTCCAACAATTTGCATTCCTCCATTCAATACGATTATTAGAGAAACATTGTAAAATTGGCAACACCGTGATGTTTTAGAGTTCACAATCTTCACGACCAGCAGCAGAGCAAAAATTTTTGTTTAATTAAAAAATCAGGAAAGACTACTGTTTAATTTTAACAGTTGTTATAAATCATAAAATATAAAAATATAGGGTAATCAGTCAAGTCAGCATCTGTTTCGATGTATATTGAAAATATTTTACTGAATAATTAACTTATCTTTGTACAATTAATTACCTTTTCTCCTGACAGGATTCCAGTAAGTCAATCAAATATTCAAGTTGTTGAAGATTTTTTAAATTGTCCTCACTTAAACAGAGCCTGCAGATATATCCAAAATCCTTGGCAGCTAAATTATTTAAGGTATTATTCCATTCTGTCATATTGTAGTATAGCTGCTATTATAATATTAAATTTACTAACAAGGTTCTTTAGTTGTGTTTCTATTTTTTGACAATTTAAAACAGATGTCCACAATTATTTGAGATTCTAATTATTTTTATGAGTAATTGTATGAGTAAGCGAGGTGATGACTCATAATGATGTCATCATTATCATTTAGAGATCGTTATTTTATACATGGTCGACAGAGATGGAAACAAGTAATTCAAAAAATATTGAAGTAATATATAAAAAGCTAGAAACCTGTTTTGTTGCTTTACACGGTCACCGATTGTTTATTTCTGTTAAATCTCCGCCATATTTTGGTTATGAAACAAGCAACTATAATTGGCTGGTTTTTTATACCGATGTAGATGACCAGTAATACAATAATAAGCGTTGTTGTAACGTCTCTATGAAAAAAATATTACGATTACGATTAATTCTCTCTAATTACGATTTTTATATTCTCTAACTAGGTACTAGTGAAAAATACGAGATATTAAGGCTCATAATGCAAGGTAAAATCAAGGGTAAAAGGACCATAGGAAGAATTTCCTAGCTGAGAAACCTAAGAGAGTGGTATAGCTCAGTAGATCTTTTCAGAGCAACCGCCAAGAAGGTACGGATAACCGTGATGACAGCCAATCTCGGATAAGAGAAGGAAATACAAGAACATTTGCCAAAAAAACTTTTATTTTATTTATCATTTATACAGATATTATTGATCAAATTTGTTGTATGTTTTGTTCTATTTAATGATTGTTGTTATTCACCGATAATATTCATAAGTATTTTTAATAATTCTATTTCTTCATCATTTGCGCCAGCTAAACTATGGTCTGTTTTTAACCAGGAGGAGTAATTCAAATTTTCCGCGCCGTAATTCTTGTTTGTAATTGGTTCAACCGCAGGCAAGTTTACTCCACTAAATTATAACATATTGACACTAATGACATTTGTGAAATTTTAAAATTCAAAATTTATATCGACGATTTTTTGTATTTTCTGGGTTATTCCTTACATTCATAGATTTTTCGTTTGCATTTATATAAAGAACAGTTCTTTTCAGAACTATTTGTAGATACTAGTAGTACTAGTAAAGTACTAGTGGTAATTATTCTTCTCCACCTTAAAAACGCCGAGTAGATTTGGGTCATTTATCAACAAATAAGAAACAATGTTTTATAAACATGTATAAAAAAATGAAAATTGATAATTCTGGATTGAAAATAACAGCCACGGTAGCAAAAGTAAAAACAGGCAGCAGGTTAGTTTTGCAGAATAGTTATTATTAAGATCAAAACTTGCTAAAGTAATGTGCTAATTTTAGGTGTTGCGAATTCAACTATTAACCAAACAATTAAAGAATATAAGCAGACTGGTGATATGCGAATATTATTTAATGTGATATTTTTCTAGATGATAATTTATACTAAATATTGTTTAAAGTATTGTTAAGAAGCATTTTCATATGTTTTCATCACAATAAAAGAACATTAGTAAAGAAGTATTGTGTTTTAGTTTGATTGCATTGATGCAGTGGGTTTTGTTCTTCCTGGTTGTAGATAATCACAAGAAAACTGCACAATTATGCTTGAATGTAACATAATAGATTGAATTTGTTAATTTTAGTCAATTTTATTTATTGATAACAAAATGTTACAAACTCAAGAATCCAGTATTAAAAAAATTAGAAGTACACACTTATTTATACAAAGTATCTTTTTGCATTATAGTGCTTCAAATAGAACCTAAAGATACTGATACATAAGTTAAACAAATCTATCTAATGAGGTAACTGATTACCAAAATACCACACCTATATTTGAACCATAATTTATTCTGTGATGGGAAATATGAAAAAGTGAATTTTAAAGCAGTGAACGGGAAGGAGTATCTAAAACAAATTGTCTAAAGCAATTCAGGAGATTGGATTATTAAGCTTAAAAATAATGATCGAAGTCAAAGTTAACTCTTCTGGTAAGAAAAAAAAACCTATATTCAAGAAATTAATCACATCAGAATAAAAATATGCTCTACGGAGTTTAAAAGAACAGTATTTCAGAAATCTTTGAACTGTCTCTAACTTTTTGATACATGCATTTGCATAGCTTTGTTGCATACTTATTAGATCTATTTGCAAATTAAAAGACAAATTTATGTGAAAAACCAAACTTAGATGAATATGAAAAATGTAAAAACGTCCTTTTTTTATTGTAATAATTCTAATATCTATTGGAAGTGAATTAAAAAAAATTATAATTCAAACATAAATTAACAAAGTTAGGTTAGAATTGTCGTG